AATATCGCGTATCTGTAATGTGCGAGCTCCATTATACGTCGCAAATGCTTAAATAAGATCCGCCATTTTATTTGGGTCCTGGGACACATGGTAATCTAGCGTTACACATTAGGATTACCACTGTTCACGGAGGATGTCGGTGGTATGTCCGAAAGCTGATTTTTAGAAATGTGAAATAGCATGCACATAACGCATCTTTACTCCCAATAGGAGAGGCTTTATTCGAGGGGGCAGAGAGTCTCAGACTCTATTTATGTGGGAGTGTCAAAAAAATCACATGAAGAAGGCGCCATCTTTGTGTGGTCCTCAGTTCTGCGTAGACCCCGCCAGTTTGCAGTCTACTAAGCCACGGCCGAAGGTGCGTTGAAATAGGCTTATGCGCGTCAGATTTGTTATAAAGCCTTCGGCAGTGGTTAATGTCAGGAGTGAACTCTAACCACTACTACTCTCGGACCTGGTCCAAAATAGAAGAAAGAGACAAGGGTCAATGTTGGAACTGCGTTCGCCGATTGGGTTAAAGGGCATGCTTGTCCCGTTGTGCCTTGGGATTGAATGTAGAGCCCTCGAACGCAATCCATTTGTGAAGAGGCATACATGCTAAAAGGGGCACATGCAAAGATAAGGGCGACTGGAGCGACAATCAGCTGTGCCCAGTCCCAGGTTTGGGGCACTTGGGACTCGAACTCAGAATCTCTGGTCATGGGGTTGGACGTTCTGTCATTGAGCCAAGGGTCCGTTGTCCAGTCGGCGAAAACAATTCCAACAGTTCTTGATTGCAACTGACAGAAAGACAGGCCTGTGGCTCAATGGTAGGGCTCGTTGACTACAGTGAGTGGAATAGGAAAGGAGTCGTTGTAGACTATTCCTCGCCCGGAGCAAAGCTTAATTAATCTGCCAGCTGGTGAGCCTTTATCTTGTTGTGAAGGCATAAGACCTGTCTGTTTATTAGAAGAAGAGAATAATAATTGACTGACTCGCTTTGGATGGACCCCAAGATCTCTCCTCTCAGACGACGCACCGAAGACAGTGCTGAGTCAAGCTGACTAGGGAATAAATCGGGTACAGTAGCCGATGTCGTTGCCTATAATTAGGAAACCTAACATTCGATTCGATATTATACTATTTTCTCTTTCCTTGGCCTGGTCTGTCTGAGTTAAATCAATTGTGTCTGGAGTTGGAGGCATTTCCCGACGTGGGCTGAACCTCCATTTAACTCTTGTCACATGCACGCAAGACACCAGTTAAGCACTCGTGTGAACGTAGTGCTGCCCGGCCGACGTATGCCACCATCCAATATGGAACAAGTTTTGACTTACCCCAAGCGAGGACGACCGGCCGCACTCTGTGAGTCACACTCATAACCAAAAAACCTCGACTATACACGTAAGCGACCGTAAATTCTTGCGATGTTGATACAGTCTTCATAGAATGCGACTTCTGACGGCCTGTTCGTTTGTTTCAAAATCACTTGGTCTTCTTTGTCCTGGCAGAATGAGAAAAATTCCAAATACCAGGTAAATGTTTCAGTACAAATATGCATTCCGGCCCTCCAACCTCATGAGTCACACACCTCACTTTAGAACTAATAGACTCTAGAGGAAAAATTAGTAGATTTTCTTGTCCTCAAATGATTACAAATCACCATACCCTATTTCGTTCTCCGGATGTCACGACACCTTCATATATGAGAACTAAGCAAAATAATCAATATGCGATTTCCTGTGGTCCTTATATCAGACAGTATATGCATTTCGGCACCTACATTCCGATACTTCTTCTAGCAGATAAATAGAAGCTCATATTAGGGTATCCACTCACCGTTTATATATCGTAAAATTGGAAGCTGAAAGCCCATGAGAAAAGTCCCAAAGTGGACCAAAACAAATAGAAAGGACATGCTTCGAGTACACAAATGATCCTCGCGAGCAACAGATCAGAGAAGCAAGAGAGTCGAAATAGGTCAAAACATTCCCGGAATGCACTACTGTTTATGTAACAGAAGAACAAGTGATATTTGAGTCAGGGAGGGTGGGGGGGGGTGCTGAGGGCTTGCTTACATCTTATTTTCCAGGGTGGCCTTAGCTAGGACAGTAAACTGGCATCTGTGGGGATTTGGTACTCTGTGGGCAGGTGTTTTAGAAAATCAGATGCCTTCTCGTCATCCAGTTCGGTCTCATCTTCCGAGCTGATGACACTACTCTCGAGATCGTCGGAGCTTGCTGAGGGAGGTATGGCTGCCGGGCTGCTAAGACCGTGTTCCAGATGATCAATAATGTTTGGGTGAGGTCGGTGTCCGGATGGATGATGTGACAACCACTTGGCGGTGTACTCTGGTGAACCGCGCGGATCGTGCACTCCGGCGGCTGGGCAAAGCCAAAAGGATCGCTGATCTGGCGTAATGTTCTTCTTCTTATTCAGCTCGATCTCCTCTATCATCCAGTTAACCATGTCTGGTGAGAAAATTTCCTCAAAGTAGCTGCGCATCTTCGTCTTAGAATTGATGATTTTCACCTTGGAGACTGTATTGATAGGCAGGAAGCCGCGAATAGCTTTCCACGCGGCCTGGAAGGCCGTACCGGGTAGAGTACAAAAGGCCTTTCCTAGTCTCTCTGGGTAATGATTGGACAGGATCTGCGCGCAGTCATAGGCCAGACGTGGATGACAGGCAGCCGTGCTCATGCCTTGCAGAGGAGAAATATAAAACGGTTTATTAGATCGCACAGGGGGGGGAGGGCGAAGGGGGGGGGGGTTTAATGTCCGAAAGTAGTGTGGTCAAAGCCGAGCCGATAGATTACGGCCATAGGCTCCCCGTCCTATGAAATGGCAATGTTTGGACTTAGAAACACCAAAGAACACAAAGTGTCAAATACGATGTTTATCTCGATGCAAGCGATTTTTCTCACTGAGCCTGGGACAGCTAATGTCATCAGCAGTATTCTTCTGCCAGACCGCGTTGGCATATTTCGTAAAAGTAAGCCGTTAAACTATTAAAACCATCCTCAAACCCCGCATTACTCCGGTAAAAACGAAATGGAATCAACGCTTTCGTGGCTGATCAAATTGTGAGGTCAAAAGGCATAAAAATGGTAATAGTTTCGGAAATGGTTCCTAGAACGGATGATTTTCCATAAAATTCGATGTCAACGTTTGCTCCGCGCCGCGCGTACAAACTTGTTTGGTAATTCTTGTCTGTTTGAAAGAGACGAACTTTCTGAAATACTCATGCTTTTCATTGACAGCCAATATTCAGTCAATGGTTAGCGATCCGTCACAAATAGCTCCATGAGCAGCCAAATGTTTCACTTGGACTATAACGCTGCACTATCATCCATTGTGGTATACTGTTAAATGCGTGATCTGAATTTGCTGTTGGTTGTCAGGAAAGTATTAGGTTGTCGGGAAAAACAGGCCGATTTCGTGCCCTAATTCACTGGGTTTCTGTAGTGCCATCCGTGAGTTTCCGTGAAACAGAACCGTGCTACGTAGATTCACTAGTGCAGGTGCCGTTTCTTCGAGTTGCTTGCAATAACCGTCTGCTGTGATACCCTTATTGGTGTCGAGGAATCTGCTGTGGACAACAGCAATAGCAAACCACCAGACAGTTACCATCATCTTCTGCTGATGCAACTTCGGTTTCGGGGAATGGTTGGACACTTGGTAACGATCAGATCATTGCTCTGATCGCTTTCGGTTATCAAAAAGGGTTCATTTTTCGTCACACGTCTCTTTTCGACCCAAAAATGAATCAGACTTTGGCAAAGAAGACAATCAAACACACGAGAAAACGTAGAACTCTTTGATTTTGATTGAACACATGGGGGACCAATTTTTCGGGTGCTTTCCTCTTACCGATTCATATCAATTGGCCGCACACTGTTTAAATACTGACACTAAATGCCACAGGAATTTCTTTGAGGCTCTAACGCCGGCATTACTTAACAATAGCTTTGAAAAGTTCATTGTCGAGAGTGTATGGTCGTCCTTTACCTTATCCATATTCAGGGCTCTTATTTTCAATACGACATTTCTGAAACCATGTATATACTCTCCGACCACTTGTGGACCCTTCCTCAGGCTCTGTTGATATTGATGGCACGGTAATGTCACATGCAAGGAAAGTTAACACATCTCTTATTTTTATGTCCATTATCAAAGGCCTATATGCTTTAAAATTGTACTTTGAAAGAAATTGTGGGAAAATGATTAAATAGTACACATCAGTTATTAATCATGTAAAGTTTCGTATAAGACACTGCAAAAATATCAAATACCCTCAATTTCCAAATGCTAGCTGAAAATCAAATCAGTCTCATGCCCTTTGTACCAAATGCAAATGTGCAAATTTATACTCTTTTCCTTCAACAGAATTATCTACCGGTGAAGTCTTACGCAGGACGGATACAGACTGGTAATTGCGAAGAATCTCTTTTCGTCACCTGACGAGCTTAGGCAGTTTCCTCTTTCTGGACCGTCTGACTCGAAGGAAACTTTATTAGATGATCATTTGACTGCAGGAATCATAAACGGAAGAAGTTTTTGACGGTCATCAAAGAATAAATGTCAACGCTAGTAATCATTCAAGAGTGATCGACTGTAACGGTGGCAAGGTTTTAACGTGTCTGAACAAACCTATCAGTCGACTAACGGAAGGAGTAAATGTTGACGAAGAATTGTTTACACAAGGCTAGGATCCGAAAACTGCGGTGGACTTCTTTGTCCATGAACCGATCGCACTGTAATCACCGGAATTTCGTGGTTGATTTGCACATGTTTATGTGAAATCTGCAGTGTGTTTACACCCCTCTCACGGTGTTGGTTCATTTTATTCTTGACCGAGGCCAACCGGCGCCTCATACGACCAGCACCCAATAGGAAAGAGTACTGGACTCGGCCGACAACCAGTCAGCAAATAAGGACCACAGCCGCACCGGGTGAAACGGGATGGCCTTCAATGAATGCCAAGCACTCGAGGAGTGCATAGTCGACTAGTCCGTGTTCCTTCTTCGTACCTTCGAAATTGCAGTCACTTGAGCGCGATGAAGTTGGCTCTAGCGCTCCTTCCGGTACTCTGCATTCTCACTGAGGGTCTCCCTAACAGATGTTTCCAATTCCGTTTTCGACGTCGAGTTGACTTCAGTACAGAGGATGATAATGGGTTCGAACTCAGGATTCGTCGTTCAAACGACAGAGCCATGGTGGGACAGTGGTATGAACCCGGACAAGAGTACACAGTGGAACTGACGAATAAGCTGCCATTCGTAACATTTCACGACTTCCTCCTCTGGTTGAGTTCGAAAGACGTTAAGCTATTTGAGAAGCAACGCGGACTGAACCTCACAGAAGGCTCTTCGAAGGTTTGTCTTCGAATATCGTGTTTTATTTTTCTCTCTATTGGCGACAGTAAGTCCACTTATTTTATATGCAGGCTCTTCGGAAAGGGGTCACAAAAGGTTCACACTTGAGAAGGAATTCATCCAACATGAATTAATCATGGATGAGACACGCCATTTGTTTCAAAAACTGGCTCTGCCGCGAAACGGATAGTTAAGACAAACTACACCTGTTAAGTAGGGTAGCCATAATTCCTAATTATTTGACTGTTGACGCCTCAGGTCTTAGTTAATGACATTTCTTAACAAGAAGTGTAGCATTTAAAGAAACCAGAAACATATAAAGTTTACGGAATAAACGTAAGAACGTGGTGCATAGATGGAATGTAGCATTGCAAAAACGTGGACATAAAAATACCGTCCATGTTTTACACGCAAGACCTTGTTGACACTAATTCTATAAATAAATGTCGAGATTGTGCTGTGCTGACTTATTAAAAGTGGCTGCTTTCCTTTAAGTTATCTGGTTCCAGATGAAACATACTGACTTTTTTCTCAAAGCAGAAGAATAAGTAAAGGAATCAGCAACTTTAACCCTTCCTGAGGAACGATAAGTGCAATTACCAACGAAAGAAGTCATTGGGTGGCGTTCCAGTTTTACCTACAGCGTCGGACATTGATAAAAAATAGAATGCCAAGGAACATTGAATGTGCTAAGTGGCTTAAGGTAACACCATTAGCACACGTAGTTTTTGACTGTTTTTGTTTGTTGTACTGATTTAACTTCTGTGACAACCACCCTTATCCCAAGCCCCGAGAATTCAGTTGAGTTTTAATCCATTTTTCTTTATTTAAATCAGAAGCCAGATCAGCTTGCCAAATACCATCTGATATCGGACACACATTTTAGATAGAAGAAATATTTATATCGTCAAGAATCCACAAACATTTCCGTCTGATACATCAAGACAAAACTGGCAGTGCAGGGCAAACGTCCCTACACATGCTCTAAATGAATGCCCAATCAAAGTAAACGGTTAAGCACTTGGACTCACAAGTGTTCTAGGACAGCAAAGAGGCGATCTTTCTTTACTTGACTAGACAATCTATTGGCTTGAAGAAGGGTTTCGACTGAATGACACTTTGGAGTACACCTCTCACCAGCAGGAAGTCTGGTTGTCAGCCGGTCGGTTAGCCAACACCAGAAAGGCTTAACTTTGTGCACCTATTTTTAACGAGGAAGAGTGGGGGACAAAGGACACATCAGAAGCGCCATCCGTTTCGTACAGACTGTTGGCATTGGTGATCAACACTTCAGGCACCAGCCACATGTAACTCCTGTGCAAGTTGTGCACATGACTCCTGTCTGCGAGGACGGGTCGCGAAATTTGTTACTTGAAACTCAACTACACAAATATGCCCTTCTTGGTGAATGCTTCGCCTCCTTTCCAGTGGAATGATCTCGGCGAATTAGCGGCGGCAGCGTTAAAAATGTCTGAATGTATTTGTGTGACTCTTGTTTTCCCGGAAAATGCTGAGACCTTGTTGAGAATTTGCATATAAACCCATCGAACACTTCAGGGTTATAACCATACTACTGACATTACGCCAGCCACATTTGACCAACCCTTTTGTCGACTGAAATGAGCAGTTAGATGCCGTTTACTAATTTAAGGGGCAACGACAGTGTGTACGACGCCACGCAGCTGGCAACCCCAACATGCACACTAAGATTCCGTGTGACTGCAAACACAACTTATTATTTAACGTTCCCATTAATTGAAATTCCTTCCCCCTCCAGACCAAATGTAAACTTACCAGCGGTGGCTTATTCAAAGTCCGTTATTTTTTGCAAATTGATTTTGGCTCATTTTTTGATTATCGCGCTGACTCTCCTTTGCAAACGACAGCGTACGACAAGACTTTCGGTAAAAATTTAACTATTTTTGTGCCTTCTTTCTCTCCGTCCGTTGTGTTGCCCCATCCGTTTAAACTCTCTCTACCACCACTCAATGTGTGCCACGGTCCACAGGCTAGTTCAAATTAGTTGGGGTCCCACTTCCTACCGTTGCCAAATAATGTTCTCAAAGGCACTGTACATGTCCTCCAGAATAAACCGAACATGCTAAGGCTTCGTTAATTTTATAGCGCAACATTCATCCTGCTTCTTCAACCTCTAACATTACTTTACATATTTCTCACGTTCGTTTTCTACTATCATCCTCGCCCACGGCTATGAGCTTGGACTATGTCATTTCCTTACACTTGACATGAGGATCGCCAAGCAAACATCTTTTAATGCCACTTTTGATGTCTATTCTGCGCTTAACCAGAACAAGTCAGAATGTCTCCACTCCGTCTCAAAGTGCTTGGGTTCATGGGTTCATCTGAGCGGCTGGCAACGCGGAGGACGCTATCGTCCAGGTGTGGCGCCTTTCGGCATCACTAAGAGCCGTGTCGGATGCATGGGATTAGTGGCCGAGCCTGCGAGCAATATTGGCGGCTATCGGCCCATCTCGAAGGTTGTCATCAGATGGCGCGCACCGGAGACCATTCCAGAGGGCCCCTCTGGCTGTGTCGTTATGCACGCCATGGTTCGGACCCACTCAGTTGCATGGAAAGAAATCGGTAATTATTCTGCCTATTACCTCAGACTGCTTTCATATTTTTGCCCATGTACGTACCGGTTTAGGTTGTGGTAGTCAATGTTCTAACTGTCGGTCACTTTCAGGTGGACTGATGAAAACCCTCTGTCCAAGCCCGATGCGGCCAATGGAACCTGTTTTGTCGGAGACGGATGACAGCCTATCTAAAAAACCAGTAAACCCCTTCGAGGAAACGCATACAACAACACTAGGACCAAAAATGCCCCGTGAAATGCTCTCACGGGACACTATGTTGCCTTCGGACTGCTGCGCCTGTGGTACGGCCACGTACCGTCTAACGTTTCAGGGTCTATGGAATAGGAGCACGCATCCTCGTGACTGGCCAGTAAATAACCCTAATCTCCTTCACTGGACAAATCTAATTGGTGCGAGCCATTCACCTAGTTTCCACATGTACTCGATTGGCCAACCAGCGAGCGCCGGAGTGCAGTCAATTTGCGCCTATGGCGACACCACTATCATGCGCCAGGCGCTGACCTTGGCTTCCTCCAAATCTGAGGGGGGCGCGGGAGTACCCACAGGGACGCAGACGGCTTCCACGGAGGTGAGCCCACTGCATAGTCTTCTCTCCACACCCGGAATGTGGGGTGAAGAGACACTGAACGAGCCCAGAACAGCCCTGATTGCAGTCAACAGGACGCATCCCCTCATATCGATGGTCACGATGCTTGGGCCGAGTCCTGACTGGTGCACAGGGATTTCAGGTCAATCGGTCTGCAAGTCAGACTGCACATGGGTGAAAAAACTTGAGCTTCATCTCTACCCCTGGGATGCTGGTGTCCGTCAGGGAAACACATACATGCCGAAGAATGCGGACAGACTGGTAGGAATTCTAATCTACCTATTTTTTTTATCTTAGAAAGTATGTATCTGCTTTCTGCTTTGTGTGTTTGCAGTACAACTTTCGTTCCACTGCTGGGCTGAAGAGCTAAGCACAGTGAAACCCGAGCTTGCAACATATTGTTTAACACAATGAAGGACACTGTCATCTGAACGCAATGACGTATGCGCTGGAAAACATTAGAGAATGAAAGTAAGTCAAAAACTGGTTGACCGTCGACGACACTTTCGAAAGCTCGCTTCTAAGGGAAACTCGGTATGATAAGAAATACCCACACCGTACTGCTCTCCACTTAGTTGAAAGGCTTACAAACACCACTACTCGCATAGTCAGCGGGTCACGCAATCCGGAGTGGTCCAGATTGCTGTAAAAATACACCTCATAATTACAGTAGGTGGCCTAACTCATGAAATGTCAGCCTAAATTACAAAATGCGTTTTCTTTTCGAAAGGATTAATCAGGTAGCGTTGTTAAACTAACCAGTCTGCAGTATAATTTTATAATAATTCAGTTACCTCAGGATGCTTGCTTTCGAACGAACTTCCGTGCGGCTGCCTACAAAAACTATACTCTGGAACAATGATTTTCGATGCCCCTAAAAGTCCAATTATATTTCATGGAAAACATGCATAAAAATATTCATTCTGTTACTCATTTCGTAGACAATTACCACTTCTTCTAATTTTATACTCGAAGGAAGGGTATTATTCGGTTTTCAAAACTTTTCTAATTCCCGAATAATTTTCAATCCGATCGGCCGTCACACTTGCATTCAGTGTTTCCAAACTACAAGTCATGTATTTTCCGCGTACGGGAATCCACACATTTCTCTACGGTATTGAGAGGGTTCATAAAATTTAGCGTTGGATTAGACCCATATTTTT